TTTGTACATTATCTAATTTTTTGCGTATGGATCGTCACTCGTAACTTTTATGTTTTTGAATTCATATGGATGCACTGGAACTAACCTTGGAATTTTGATGCAGTGCAGCCACACTCTTTAATCATGTAATCGTTTCGACAATTTATCATACAGGCCTGTTTCGTGTATGCCAAGTTGCTGTCGAACATAAGAGATCCACTCCTGCAGTTGGTTGCATACGGCTTCATCAAGTTAATCATCTATAAAAACACGTGTCCTATTTACAAAAGCTTGTGAAACATTGATAAAAAAGTAGTATGTAGTGTTCAAAAAGGGGGTTGCTTTTAGCCTTGGGCAAATCGGTAAGGTGGCGGCTTACAAGTGACTTTTGCTGACGACTGATTGCTTGAATGCCTCACAGACTGTCTTTCAGACTGACGAGGTGACTATTTTACTGAGTAATTGACTGACTGACTGATCAACTGACAGACGCAATGACGGAAGCCTAACTACGTGACTGCCTGAATGTCTAACTAAGTTGCTGGCTGGTTAGATTAGCTGAGTGAATGGTTAGCGTGTAATGTGAATTGGCTAATTGGCTCCACGATATTTTTTCTTCGACGTAATGGGTCTTGCGTGGTGCTCAGAGCTTAAAAATCTGCCTCGATCCTTTCACAATTTAAGCTGATAAGCAACCAGATGACTCTCTGAGAGGCTTTATAAGTGACTTTACTAACTGACTAACCGCCTACAGGCTGGCTGGTCGGCTGGTCAGCTTGTTTGCGTATGCGCTGTCTGTCTGTTTTTCTTACCTTTCTTCTTTTTATGGCACAAAATGTAGACATTCCGGGCTGAATTGCGATACCAAACTCTTCCACGGGAGAATAAGTCTTCTGGTCGTGTATCAGGATAATAATTCCAACAGAAGGCGAAAGTAAATTTGTAATATAGCTGTCTCGCTCGATGTTAAGACGAAGACTCAAGCCACTCAGTCGGCCAGCTGATGAAGTTTTTAATAATGGCGTGCCTTCTTCTGCAGAATTGAATGTATAACACTTGAATCCCATTAATGCACTCAGGGAGCTGGTAAAGTTATCTGCGTTGCATTGCAAGCCATTAATGGAACAGGAACTGAAGTGTGGGCTGTTTGGCAAAAGCATTCTTTCTATTTGATGACCAAACATCCATTGCGACATTTCTGTTTCGTCACCAACTTCTGGCCGATGAAAAAGTTCTGGAGTGCGGTTTCGGACCTCTTCTGTAGAAACCTCTTTCGATCTTCTTATCATAAGAGCCAAATCCTGAAGCTTTTTGTCCAGTATCTCTTTGCTGTAGTTATGAGTTACGTAATAGTTTATGTAACGCCGTTTGTCGAGGGCATTTAGATTACACAGAGTTACAGCAGGGAAGGGAAGGTCTGTATTATCATCACCAATGTCAACTGTTATTTTTGTACCAAATGGACGTTCATAATAGTGTCCAACGAAATTGTAAACTTGATGAATGCAGAAAACCGTACATCCACTAACTGCAACAATCCAAACCAGTCTTCTGAAAACGTTATCCGTGGAAAAAAATCTGGCCCCGTGCAGAGTTGTATCCTGAGCGAACGTCTTCCATCCTTCAACCTCTTGGCGCTGTGGGTGTAAATCCCTACTGCTGATGCTATTTCTTTGTAACCTGGTTGCATCCTCTTCTTCTTGAATATTAACAGTGTTGTTTTCATATCCCATTGTTATGGAAAAGGAGTTTCTTTCAATCAAAATGTTTGAGTATTCTGTCAAAATGGTTTTCACGTTTCTGTTCAATGCTGCCGTTTCCACAATGAGTGTGAAGAATATCCCAAAATCTTCCGACGGTACTGCAAAGATCTAATTACTTTTAAGAGGCCGTGCTGATTAAAATTACAGCATGCTATCACAGCTGGCTTGATTTCTAAAAGAAAAAGCAGAAATATGTTGCTTATAATTCCGCCGCACTGAGTATTATCATAGATGGATTAAGATGATTTTATAACAAGGTAGGTGTAAGTTTTGGCGGAAATTACCCCGAAACATGTTACAAAATACATAGATATACTTCTCTCCTTGCGTAAGGTCTATTGTGAAGTCATCATCGCGTAACGGTCTCGACGTATTACAAAGTTAGTCATAAATCGCAAAGAAACAACTCATTTAAGTGTTATCAGTTATGTTTATGTAAGTACAGCCTGTCTTCATACTTGTCGACGTATCAAATAAGACTTACGACACCTGAAAATATACCTCCTCAAGGGAGAGAAGTCGTTGTCAGCGTGATGGAACTGTTTCTGAACCGAGCTGTTGCTCTTTGAAACGGTGGAATAAGCGATGAAACATTTGCGGAAACCCCTGGGTCAAGCGATGGTCTGTTTGAGCAAAGTCCAAACGCTTTTGAGCTGTCATTTTTCTCCTCGAGCTCTTTGGAGGACCTTTCGGGAAAGGTAAGATCACGGGAACTCCGGCAGAAACTGGAGACATATATTCAGTTGTGCATCGCTCCTTAAGCGACCCATTTGTACCAACTCTACTTAGAAATATTTGGTCATGATGAATCGCCAAGAAATAACTCATTAAAGCCTTATCAGTTTTGCTTAATTGAGTTAAGTGTACCTCTAGCTATATTCTTGGCTTTCTAATACAAAAGAGTGCTGAAACAACTTTTAACACCGGCATTGCTTATTTGTTGTGATCTATGAGAACGAACCAGCCTTGATAATCGGCTCAAAAACTGAACGTTTTTTTCTTCGATGATGAGTAGGTACAAATGGCTAATTTTGTAAGACGTCGAGACCATTACACGATGACCATTTAACAAATAAACCTTAAGTAAGGAGAGAAGTTTATTGGTATACTTCGTAACATATTTCGGGGTAATTCCCACCAAAACTTAAACCTACCTTGTATTAAAATTATCTTAATCCATCTATGATGAAACTGCGGCGAAAAAGAGTTGATCTCTCTCAAAAATCGGTTTTTTGAACATCGAAACTGCCTTTCGTCATACATTTCTTTCTAACGGGCTGCAATGTTTGCCCCGTAACAATCCCAGAGATCTTTGCGCAAACGGAAGGATCCGGTTACTGGTAACTTATTCCTTGAGCGCGCGGCCAAAAGGATCATGTTACACAGCTGTGACGTAAAAAAATGTGAAGACACATCGGCAACTATGGTGGAGATAAGTGAAATCAAGAAGAGGGGACGAATGTGTTGCGTGGCCGGAGCGGCAAACGGTGTTAGCTACTATAATAATACACACACAAGGTATTTCTATACAGTACTTTCCAGAGGATGCAGCTGTATGGTAAAAATGAACGCGTTTTGATCGTCGACATCGAGGAGATTGTACTCATTAAAAGTCGTCAGCCTTATGCTTCGTCCCGGATTCGAAGACGTTAGTTAACGGCGTAACATCTTCCAGTATATACATCACCGACTGAAAAAAATTACGCCGTTAATTAGTTAATGGCGTAATACCGACTGGAAGTAATTACGCCGTTAGTTAACGGCGTAAAAAATCCCACAGTATATACATTACCGACTGAAAGGAAACACCTGAATCCTGAACCAGTTTTGTGAGGGGTGTTAGTTTTCGCCGGAGGGGTCTTATGTCTTGGGTCTTAGCTTTTGTGACACCTGGCTTGTCTAAATTATCACTTAACTAAATTATTTTACAGCAGGTGCACACGAACATGAAAATTTTGCAGTATCATGATTTAATCATTTTTCAAACTCTGCGACTTGTCGTAATCACGAAAAAATTGTCGTGAATTCCACTACAATTTAAAAGCACAACCTTTTCAGAGAGCTGTGAACAGTGTTCGAATTACGAACTTAGTTCGAGGAAGTGAAATTCTATACTGCACCCGAAATAAGAAGGCGACGCCGTGGTCAACGTTGGTTACCGAAAAAGTGAATCTATATTTTACCTACGAATCTTGCAATACTCTAATATAGTTTGTTTGTTATCGTCTAATTTAGTTTGTTTCTTATTGTTAAACTATCTCCAAACTGAATATGGAACACAGCGTTAAATTAGAAATAGAAATTTAAAAATTAGCCGTCCTTGTTCACGTTCTCCAGTCAAAGCAAAGTTTGCATTTGGCCATTTCACGTTGTTGTTTTTGTAGAGGACGTAAAGAAATTTTCAAAGATTTATAACGCACGTGCACAACCATTGTTGTGCTCATTAAACCTTTTATCTAGTGACGTTCCCGTTGCCGTTTTCGTCGTGGTTTTCTTAAAATCCCCAACCAAACGATCGAAACCGAAACGGAGAAGGCTGTAGTTAAGTACGGAAGTGCACAAAGCCCGAGGTTAGTTACTTTTAAAACTTCTCGTGATATCCAACCCCAACTGAAATAGAGATGCCATGATCATGTTCTCCAGCTATAATATAAACTTAGTTTCATCAAACAATATAGAGTAAGCGGCGTCCAAGAGCCGAGCGACCCTATGTTTTTCAAAGCTGCTATGTTTGAATGTTCCATTGTACTTTTCGAACTGCCCTATTCAGTAGTAGATTACGAATTGCACCTCAGTGCTGTGAGCGTAGACATTGATATAGATTTTGAAATTTCCCCGTAAAACCTCCGAGAACCCTTATATCAGAATGGCTTGACTTACGAGACACCTCATAGAGAACGAAATGAAGATTCGACCTCGACCCAAAGAAAAACCATTTTTGCAAGCCATCGCCTCAAAATAGCATTCAGTTATCCCACTGAACGTGTCAGGCCGCTTACGTTCACTGCTAATGAGCTAGAAATTCATTTCGCTTACATTTTATCGTGAACTACTTACCAAAATTAGCTTTTATAAATGAATCCAAGAGGTGCGCAGCAACTCTGCCAACGTCAATTGTCGACGGTAAAGTCTGGAGCACGCATTGACTTCCGTTGGGATCAATTATTAATTCGTTCGTCTACGTTTGTATGAAGGGTGGGGACCAAAGGGTAAACCTTCTACACCAGCTATCTTTTTTCATTAATGTCAGAAAGTTAATCATCAACAGCTGCAAAAGCATATTACCCGCTGGAAACAAAAACCGATCGTTTATATGGTTCATTAACGACTGCTTTTCCCTTGGGTAGAAATTAAGCTGCACATAGCTTCCTGGGACCCGTCCCTTCTGTGATTCTGGATGCGAAATCGTGGCTCCTTCATTAGTTTCCTACATATTATGTTTGCATTTCTCTTCTGCACACGACAGGTGACTTAAAGGGCAAGAATAATTGGCTCATAATCATGCTTGAATCTGCATAAATTTCTTATTCAATTCAGTAACAGCCTCCAAACACTCGCTCCCATTTTGACGAGTACCTGAAGCTGTTATGGTGAATTTCAACAATAATCTAGTTATAAGTACCGAGATATGATGCTAAAAAGGCAATGTTTTGTTTTGTAAATATTAACTCTTCGCCTATAAATGATCAATAGCAGAAGATAGGGAATAATAAACGTTTTATTATTATTATTATTATTATTATTATTAATATTATTATTATTAATATTATTATTATTATATTCCGTGCTAAACAGGTGTAATTTTTCTCTGTTTTTCAGTTAAACGGAGGCAAGCGCAAGGCGATGCAAAGCGTGAGTATAGGAGTCTTAGTTTTCGAGTGTATTTCACTTGAACTGCGAAAACCTGGATCCTGAACTAGCTTTCGAGGCTTAAGTATCTTACTCTTACGGTCACGGTCTTACTCTTACGGCAAAACAAAAACAAGATTGCCGACATAACTTATTGACAGAATTGGAATCATACTTAAAAAGATATCTTTAGAGGAAATAGTCTTCGAACATTGTTAGATAACAACAGAATAAACAGAACTCTAACAGAACTAAGTGCTGTTCTTATAAGTTAGCTAATTATAGATTCAGTGCGGAGGATGCGCAGTACAAGTTGTTTACACATTCAGTCGCCATTAAAGAAAGAGGAGTTGATCGCCCTAAATTGAAATTTAGGAAATATTTCCTTGAGCGAGAGTTCAACATGGAGTTAGTCTAAAAACGAGAATGTCAAAGGGTTACAAATGTAAAAAAGGGTCATTTCTGGGAAATTCCTGTACGGGATCGGTTTTATAGCGTAAGGTAATTTTCTTCGTTATTGAAGCAGTTTTATCCCAACATGACGGAAACACTCCAATATTCAACCACAAATCGCAATTTACGTTGCAATATTTGTTTCCATGTCAAACTCACGGTCACGACAAGAAAAGGTGACAGAAATTCCACCTGTAAAGGAGGACCGCCTAAACGAATAGGAAATGATCAACCTGTTTATCACAACTTTTTACTTAATGGCTTATGGTAATATATTATTTTCATCCATTTCCGACACTTCAATAAGTTTAATAACTCATATAAGGAAAATTCTTGCTAGACGCCAATTTTGTCTTTTAAGAAAAGCATTCTCTGCTGCGCTAACGTAAGTCACTTTTAATTACGCAGTCTGTAATTCAGGCCCCGTCCACACTAATGCGTGATGAATTTTTTCAATAAGTAAAGAGAAACAGAAAGCTACTTTTTCTTTCTGAATTAAATAGAGTGTAAATTTGACAGAGAGAAGTTTACTTATCTATATTCAACGTTTAATTTTGTAGCTCAGTGGCCTTCATGCATACGCCTCAAGTAAAATTCATGATCTCCAAGTTGTAGCTCCTCCAGGTTGTGAAGATTACTTTGGCTTCTTCTTTCTTTCAAAATTTCCCGTGCCCAAAAACGTTTCGTTTTCTCCCTTTTTTTGTAGTCGCTTTCGCTTTCTTCGTTGCAAGGGAAGAAGAAAAAAACAACAGTCATCCGTCATAGATCCTTGTAACTAGTAAACATTGTGTTCTTATGCTTTTGAATATGGAAATAAGAATATCGTTAGATTGGAAGCGTCGACGTAATTTACGGATAGAAAACTGTGGCCAAAAGGAAACATGAAGGGCGAGTCACTCCACACATACAAACAAAGGTCTCAGTAAAAAGCATTATTTATGACTTATGTAATGCTTCACGTAAAATGTCGGTTTTTTTCTCTTGCTTTGAACAAGTGTAAGATTCTCCTGAAAATAAAATCGAAGAATTCCAGGAAAGTGAGGACACTCATTCCGAGGAAGAGGCCAAAGGTACCGCCTAAGTTCCCTGGTGGAGCAACAGAATGACAGATCACTGTTAAGATGGTGAGAGGGACAACAAATTATTTTATCTTCATCATATACCAAAATTTTATGAATCCATGGGCACAGCCAGGCTTTAGCATAGGGAAAGGGATTGTTTCCTTTAATAGAGTGCTACTGGAATTTGGGAACAAATCAATTTTAATTTTTGCCACTCAGTGGCAAAAATTAATTGATTTCTTCAAGGGGGGCATATGTTTCCCTGACGATCCCTCCCCCCTTTATTGATCAGAGAAAACAATTGGGAATTAAAATTGGACGGGAGGTCAACTAGCTTGCTATAACCACTGAACACAGGAAATCGTCATCACAGGAAAACACAATCCAATTTAGGTCAGGTAAAACAAATCACATACAATTACGACCCTGTGGAAAAACTCAGAGGTTAAAAAAGTACGACAAGACTTGTCGCTCAAACTTCATCAATAATTTATTTGTTTGTCAAATTTTAGTCGACCAAAGTAACGATAAAATAATGGCAATTTCTCTTTATCAATAATCAAACCTTAACCTCAGTACTCACCAGTCAACGCCCAGATTTCAAAAACAGGTTTTTGCTCAATTATCTCAACACTCAAATCTTCAAAAAAGATGTCCAGAGAGATAATGTTTTTGCTGCGGAAAAATATAGTAACTTTTTTTACCTCACATTCATGTGATTCGGATATATAAATACAGAGTAACACCCGATCTTCCAGTGTTACCACCAAAGCCTTTCCACCATTTGAAGAACTCACAATATGGTCAAACTTTGATATTATTCATTGATCCAGGAGGTTCTTTCAATGTGAGGAGGTTCTTTCTATGTGAGTTGATTTTGCCGAAACGTTTTCCATAAGCATAGATTAACAAGTGAACGTAAAGGATAGTGTTTTTTCTTTTTTTTTTCAATGTATATTGTAATTATTCGTGGTTTAGTGAGTCTAACATGAGTAAATGAAGAGATGAATTACTTACTCAATAAATTTCTCCTTTTCCTCTTCCGTCATGTTCAATAAAGGCCTGTACATCTCCAGTTCCATGGCTGATGTCGCATTGTCGTTAAGAATGGACATGAAGTGTTCAATGTAAGCGTCTTTCTGAAGTCCGCTATAGGAAAAGGATGTCCTGTACTCCACATGTTCACATGGCTCGCGACACTCCTTTTCACATTCTGTTCTCTCTTGCGAAGTGCCAAACTTTACTGCAGGAAAAATCAATCATCGTACGTGTTGTGTTAAAGTTTTTTTTTTCCGGTTTCAAGTCAGTTTTTCTGAAACAGTTCTAGGTCATACTGCAAGTTTCGATAATCAATACAGATTGAAAAAATTTAATTTCAGCTTGAGAAGAAACAATGTGCACGTAAGATATACTTGTTTGACTTGTTCAAGGGTAAGTGAGATTTGGAGTAAATAAATCCTTTCCTTGCCTTGTGATAAGTACATTCAAAGTTTTTTTTTGTCCAACGTGACGAACTTGTGCTCGTGCATTTTAGCCAATCAAAAAGCAGGAAATACAGGAGTTTTCACTCAGCTCCGTAAAACGAATGGCAATAACCAGTGAACTGTTCAGTCCTTTTTAACCACTTATCTGTCGTCTTCAGCGGTTAGTGGTTAGAAGAAAGTCGAGCACTTAACATTAGCGGAAGTAGTCGTTTGGTTTAAATTTATAATTATTTTGGAATAGAGTAGATTTTTTTCAAGCATAATTTTATTTACATACCGTACGATGGAAAAGCGCACAGAATCGAGTCATTCACTGAACATACTGGAATCGGTCGATTGGCTGTCAAATAACAGAGATTGTTTTTAATGTTTACAGTTCTTGTACTTAATGACCTTCGGCCTCTGAGTATCATCCCAACTACAAACTACATCTATGTAATTTTAATGGGCTGAACTTTTTTCCCAATTTGATTGGTTCTCACTTTGACATTGAAGAAGTTACATTCTTGTTCATTTAAAACAAAAAAATTCCATGTCGCCGTACCCTTATTTAATAATGGATCAAAATAATCAAAATTTTAAGAAAGTCAGTGACATATATACTCGGCTGCGCCACATGTGCCAAAATTTTGTCTATAACAACATTAGGCCGTTCATCTGTAATTGTAATGGAATAGACGCAAGGGAGCGCGGAATACATTTTCCAAAAGAAGCGCTCATTGCTGATTGGTTTAAATTGCACTACTAAGAAAAAAAGAAGTGATTCTATTTTTATGCCCTCATTCCGTTCAAATCTTCCATTGACAAAATAAATCCCTATAAAATGTTTAGAATGTACATCATGTAATTTTTTGCGTATGGATCGCAACTCGTAACTTTTATGTTTTTTAATTATTATGGATGCACTGGAACTAACCTTGGAATTTTGATGCAGTGCAGCCACACTCTTTAATCATGTAATCGTTTCGACAATTTATCATACAGGCCTGTTTCGTGTATGTCAAGTTGCTGTCGAACATAAGAGATCCACTCCGGCAGTTGGTTGCATACGGCTTCTTCAAGTTAATTATCTATAAAAACGCGTCGTGTCCTATTTATAATAGCTTGTCAAACATTGATAAAAAAATAGTACGTAGTGTTCAAAAAGGGAGTTGCGTTTAGCCTTGGGAAAACCAGTAAGGTGGCTTGCAAGTAAATTTTGCTGACGGCTGATTGCTTGAATGCCTCACAGACTGTTTGACTGAGTAACTGACTGACTGACTGACTGACTGATCGACTGTCTGCCTGCCTGACTTGGAGACTAACTTGCTGACTGAACAACTGACAGACTTAAAGACGGAAGCCTGACTACGTAACTGCCTGAATGTCTGACTAAATAGCTGGCTGGTTAGATAAGCTGAGTGAATGGTTAGCGTGTAATGCAAGTTGGCTAATTGGCTCCACGAAATTATTTCTTCGACGTAACGGGTCTTGTGTGGCGCACAGAGCTTAAAATCCGCCTCAATCCTTTACAGAATTTAAGCTGATAAGCAACCAGATGACTCTCTGAGAGGCTTTATGAGTGACTTTACTAATTGACTAACCGCTTGCAGGCTGGCTAGTCAGTTGATCGGCTTGGTAGCGTACGCGCTGTCTGTCTGTTTTTCTTACCTTTCTTCTTTTTATGGCGCAAAATGTAGACATTCCGGGCTGAATTGCGATACCAAACTCTTCCACGGGCGGATAAATCTTCTGGTCGTGTATCAGGATAACAATTCCAACAGCAGGCGAAAGTAAATTTGTAATATAGCTGTCTCGCTCGATGTTAAGACGAAGACTCAAGCCACTCAGTCGGCCAGCTAATGAAGCTTTTAATAATAGCCCGCCTTCTTCTGCAGAATTGAATGTATAACACTTGAATCCCACTGCACTCAGGGAGCTGGTAAAGTTATCTTCGTTACACTGCAAGCCATTAATGGAACAGGAACTGAAGCGTGGGCTGTTTGGTAAAAGCATTCTTTCTATTTGATGACCAAACATCCATTGCGACATTTCTGTTTCGTCGCCAACTTCTGGCCGATAAAAAAGTTCTGGAGTGCGGTTCCGGACCTCTTCTGTAGAAACCGCTTTCGATCTTCTTATCATAAGAACCAAATCCTGAAGTTTTTTGTCTAGTATCTCTTTGCTGTAGTTATGAGTTAAGTAATAGTTTATGTAACGCCGTTTGTCGAGGGCATTGAAATTGCACAGAGTTACAGCAGGGAAGGGAAGGTCTGTATTATCATCACGAATGTCAACTGTTATTGTTGTACCAAATGGACGTTCATAATAGTGTCCGAGGAAACTGTAAACTTGATAAATGCAGAAAAACGCACATCCACTAACTGCAGCAATCCAAACAAATCTTCTGAAAACGTTATCCGTGGAAAAAAATCTGGCCCCGTGTAGAGTTGTATCCTGAGCGAACGTCTTCCATCCTTCAACCTTTGGGCGCTGTGGGTGTGAATCCCTAGTGTTGATGCTATTTCTTTTTAACCTGCTTGCATCTTCTACCTCTTGAAGATCAACAGTGTTGTTTTCACATCCCATGGTATCGAATAGGAAGTTCCTTTCAATCAAAATGCTTGAGAATTCTACCAAAACGGTTCTCACATATCTGTTCGATGCTGCTGTTTCGACAATGAATGTGAAGAATATCCCAAAATCTTCCGACGGTGCTGCAAAGACATAATTACTTTTGAGAGGCTGTACTAATTAAAATCACAGCATGCTATCACAGCTGGCATGATTTTCTAAAATGAAACAGAAATGTGTTGCTTATAATTTGACAAACCAGCGCATTGTAAATGATGAATGCAACAAGCTATCGGCTAAAAGGTATCATGTTTGCTATTAACCAGAGAGTGCCGTAATTGAAAAAGTCCAAACTCTTGCGCTTTCTGTTTTCCTTACAAAGGTAAGTTTATATTTACCAAAGGTGTAAATTTTATAATTCTATGTCTCCTCAGTTATCAGCAGTCACCCTGCTGAGGTGATTTAATTAATATAAGACTTGCACTTAACTTATTGACTCTGCAGGGAGGAACATTTTTGATGATAAACCTCTTGTTAATCGTCTTAACAACGAAGTTTGACTCGATATATTTATACCCAAACTAACAACACAATTAATTAGATTTACTAAGAAGATATCATTATAGTTTTACGATTCCAGGTTACTAAACTTGTGAAATATCAAATTTTGAAATTCAGAACCTTTGATTTCCTTTATTTTACCGTTTGAGTGATATGAAATCATGTACGCCGAGGCGAAGGATATCAAGAGATACTCATTTGTAAAGTTGTAAAGCAGTGAGTGATTTGCTTTAGTGGTATTAGTTCTAAGCACTCTGTTTTAAGTCCTGCTGAGCGCAGTTCTGTTTAAAGGATTACTTGGTTTATCGGTAATGCTGCATTTGTGAATTAGCACCAGTTATTGGAGACTTTTGTTCTTTATAGTGATGATTCGATAAAGTGGAAAGAAGTTGATTCTTTTCATGTTTTTTTCTGTACCAGCAGTCCTATATAGCCCCAATCAACAACTTTTAACACACAGTAATGATTCAAAATCACTTTGTTAACTCATTCGGCTTTATAATTATTTTGCCCTAAAGTCTTCCAGCTATCACAAATGATATCCCCAAGCAAACCTTGGGTTCATGGAATAGGAAGATAAAACAAGAAGAAGCACAGTATAAACTATAACGAAAAGAAATAATCCTCGCAGTTGGACTATACAATTTGAAAAAAAAAAATCAAAATCAGTTTTCGAAGGAATTCGAACCCGTGTCTCCCAGTTACTAGATGGGTGCGGCTACCACCAGCTGAGAGCGTTGCTTTTTTATCATTCTGTTGTTGGTCTAAAACAAGATAACAAAGTTTGACTAGGTATTAATTGCCACAAATTACCTGGAGGAGTAACATCTAAATACTGAATAAAGCGGAAATTGTATAAATTTAAGCTTCACTGAACTCAAATGGGAAACACTTTTTGCATTAATCCTTTGACTGCGTGTGCTATATACTTTCCTCAGGATCTTGGATGTTTATTCTTTCTTTTAATTTTACGCCCCAAATAATTTGTTTACCGGTGTACCATCAACAAAATTTGGAAAAACGTCTACAAATACATCAAGAAAAGGTGTTGTAAGAAAAGCATGAGTGCAACGACCATTCCTTCAAATAGGCCTAAATTTATTACATGCAAAATACAAACTTGTTACTCTAGCTAACATTTGCACTCTAATTACAAATGTTACAAAGAGCATTTTATCAGTGATTATTTCTAAGTTGACATCAAAGGCCTTATGGTAGAAATCAGGCGAAAAGAACCGAGTAAAATTGCATGACTTTTATCTTGACTTGAGTCGTCCAATATATCGTGGCTATTCTTGTGCGAAACACAAGGAAACACATCCAAAAGAAAACGACTATCGCGGTGTACGCTTCATTCTTGGCCCAGAGAGACACGGAATTGAATCTAGCTAAATCACTAAGAGAATTGAGCCGTTGGGTTTTCAATTTGATAAGTTTCTGGTCCCATATTTGCCGCGAGAGTCTTGTGCAATAATTCTTACACCGAAAGTCAAGTGGAATTTGACTATCGTGCCGTTTTCCCTCTCTATTTTACGACTCGCTTGTAAACATATTTCCTCACAACTAAATGAAACAAGCTACCCACAAAAGATGTAATAGTATAGACTAAGAAACTTTAAGAGAATTAAGGGAATAAGTCATAACTCAGATATAATCAGGTGCCTCAATGACAGGCATTGACAAGAGCAACCTAAAATTGAAAGATGTAATCTTATAAATGAGAGAAACCTTGAGGGAATGATGTGAAGGAGTCATAAATCAGATATAATCAGTTGGCTCATCTCTTCTTATCAATGACAGACATATTTTCTCGCAGCTTAATGAGACGAGCAACCTACAAAAGATGTAACTGTTTAAACTAGGAAACCTTATGGGAATAAACTGAATAAGTCATAAATCAGACATAATCAGACTGCTCCTCCGTTCTTATCTATGACAGTGAAGAGAAGTCTTCCGTTTGTTTCCCTTTATTAGAGGCAAACTTGCAAAATAAATGAAATTTAGAACCATAAATGAAGCGTAGAGTAGATTAATCTTCAATGTTGGACTTGCAGTAGGAATCCATGACACAAAACTGGAAAGGTCAAAAAAAGGAAATGTCAATTAGAAATTTATGAAGCATGTGAATGGAAAAACATTGAAATGGTAATAACATTGAATTGGTAATGATGCTGCAATGGTAATGACATTGAAATGGTTATGACTCTAAATTTGTAATGGCACTGAAATGGTAATGACACTGAAATGGAAATGACAATGACAGTTACGGTCACTAAGTGGTAAGTGCGCACGCCCGAAGGTAATTGAGATAGAAGTGGTGACAGTGAAATTGAGACTGACATTGACAGGGAATTCAAATGACAGTGATATAGCCATGACCACCCTTCCGCTTTCCAGACTCTGACGTTCCTTTAACCAGCCTGGAACAGATCCAATAAGCGCGAGCAATTACATTGATTTTGTTTTCACCTGTTTATACCCGAGAAGAACTGTTTTTCTTTCTCTTTTTCGGCTTGTCAGTCGTTAGCTGAATTGTTTCTTGACGTGTGGCTCTCCTCTTAGAAACTATTTTCACTAAAGCATCTTTAATCTAGTGTAAAAATTATAAAAATAAATTTATAATTAAATGTTGTGATCAATGGTAGAAAAAAAACATTAGTAATATCACAGTTCCAGAAAGAACAAAAGCTACTTACAAAGTCGTCTAGAATGCAAAAGCTGACAAATATAAAAACCCCTTGGAGTACATTCAAAATGGTGAAGATGTAATGAAACACTACTGTTGATGAAATGAATGTGAGAAATCCAAACGACCACGTGACACCCAGAACTGGCAGCAACATTGCAAAGCGTCTCAACCAATCCTTGAGTTGCTTCACAGGTGTTTTGCTGGTTTTGGATTTTCTAGCTCTGTTTATTTGACGAAGCAAGAAAATGAGAAGGGCTGAGTTGATCTAAATTGATAAAAGAAAAAAAAATAAAGGGAACATTGAAGGTGAAAGATAACGATAAAGGAAGTATTGATAAAAGGGAGCAGCTTCGTCAGGCAGCCTCCCTTGGTGGGTATTTTGCGAACATCTTGTTGATACTAATTTCTCCGCAGTAATTTTATGTTTCAATTGTTTGCCATATAAATTTTCATGTGTCCATAAAGCATCCTGAGCGATTTTCCTAATTGATACATGTCTCATCGATCTTGGGCGAGATCGAGAGAAACGGTGTCTAGTTGTATCTCTGTCTTGCCACATTTTAACAAAAGACTTTTGCCCAAACTTCTTTTGTTTGATTCAAAGCTCAAGGCAGCCTTTCTGTATCATATCACAGCATAGAATGTGCTTATTCATATGAAAGGATATTTGAAACAAATTGAATCTTTCACGCTGCAGCAAGTGTACTGTAGAGGTAACTCACTAATACAACCACCGCAACTGGAGCAACAAATGCCCAGTAAATGAGACAACGTTCTGTTGTAAGCCAACAGTTTTTCGCTGCATAAGACTTGGTTCCAGTTGCTGCCAGAGAGATCGCCACGATTGGAATTGGAGTACCTGGAACGATCAGAAAAAAGGCTTCAGTGACATCCAGATCTTCCAGTTCCACTATGACATTCGGAGCCCATTACCCGGACCTTCCATCTTTCATACTGACCCTCTGAGCCAACCCTGTCCCGTATCTTTCTATTTTTAGAAGCACCTTCCACGGCGGCTTTCGCGGGTGTTTTTATAATAGCCAATCATAAGAGAGCTGTCGTCTCTATTGTGTCACTTGCCGGCTGCACGAAATTATTTCAATAATGGCGGAAAGCTCGGAAAGATTAAAGAACCCCGAAAATATCTCAGTTCTAAAAATAAAAAGATACGGGACAGGGTTGACTCAAGGGTACAACAGAGATGGAAGCTCCGGGTAATGGGCTCCTGATGACATCAAACTTTGGCGTTGAGTATGTCCACAAGCTGTGGAAGTGAAAATGTCACTGCTCTAACAGTTCTCTCTTACCTCATCCCAGAGCGTAAAACCATTTTTTTTTTGATGCCAGAATTTCTTGCCAACAAGATAACACCATGACATAGCTTCCAGAATAACACAGACAGCAGGAAATAATGGGGTAATACTGCATTTGTTGTGCTTAGCTCCTGTGGATAAGAAGAAAAATATTTTGCTGGCAGATGTAATTCTTCGTCAATTGTAAGGTGTGATCATGATAATGATAACGATGACGACGACGATGTCGGTGACGATGGCAATGGCTGAGGCAGTGACAGTAAAGGTATCAGTGACTGAATATTTCATGATTTAAGATATTTCATAATCTGAGGTGCATGTTAAGATTGAAATTGACTCGGTAACAAAAGAATTAATAAAACAGAATTCCAACCGGCATAAGCTCTTGGGAAATTATCTGCTGCCGAAACGCTCATCTTTTTGTCTTGGACGAAAGGGAGACTGTGACCCTGTGAAGAAGAACCTTCACATTAACAGTTCCATATTTTCCATTGATGTTACCAGGCTACGGACTTGAGTGATTAACCACGCAAAAGATATCAAATACTAAAGCTGTTTATTGGTAAGTGCATGCTTCTTTCCCTACGATGACTTTTGTTCAAGGCAAAAAAAAATTCATAAACCAGAGGTTTCAAAAAATTATCTAGTTTATAGTTACCTTCGGCTTTCCCAAATAATCGGCCAGGATAATGAAAACGTAGAACACAGCAATGGCAACGAACAGGTGAAATAACATTGTTGATCGGAAACTCTTCACTTTCTTCCATCACAAGAGGAATACCACACAAGTAAGCACCGGAAAGAAGAGTGAGCATGCGCAGTCTATGGCAGAAATAAGTTTTAAGTACGGCTGATGACGAGTTTGGACCTGAAAGGAAATCAAGCCGAAGATTACGAATCAATCAGAAACCCATCCAGGAATGAAACAATGACATAAATAACGACAACAATGTGGATGATGAGAATGATTTTGGTTGATTCTAATAGTGATAGTATCCATGATGATATCAAAACTGGCGCATCATTACTGTAATATTAGTAGAAAATTTGGTAGAGTAATATAGTAAGTACAGAACTAGATAATAAATGGATACGAAACGCAATTGTTTTTATAAAAAAAAGTGTTAAAATAATTGATAACAGTGACCATAGATCTCGCATTAGAGGCAATGTACTGATTTATTCCTGCTTTTAGTTTCACAAAATTGAGAAAGTGATATTTAGACTCGTGGTATTTAGAATAAAATAGAACCCATGCACCGTTTGTTGTTCATTAGCACTGCAAAAATGGATTAAGTGATCACACTAGCACGTGGTTACACGCGCGTTTGACTCACGATCCAGGCGCACACACCCACGCGTCAGCCACGTCCTCTGGGATTTGCCAATATTAAAAAACATGCATTGTCCGAGAAAATCACGGCTCTATCGACAAAATAATACGGTGGTAAGCTGGACCGCAGACGCGTTAAGAGATTTTGAAGATACTTTATATCTTATGCCACTTGTTACGGCTGGAAGAAACATTTACCTTGTATTTATCAAGTAAGACGAAACTGTGCCCTAATTTCTGTAAAACAGTGCTAACGTGTAAGGGGTTTGTTCAAGTCAGCGGTTAATGGGACATAATTTGAGGCCCACATATGTACAGACAACATTGGTCAGACTCGTCTTACTTCCTTGTTACGAAAAAGGTTATCAAGTTCACTATGAGCCTGAGGAAGGTCTTTGAGCCCAGATTATTGAGTTATGCCTAAACAAAATTTATTGACGATAACTCTGTAACCATACGCTAGGAGAACCATAGATTGTCCAGCAGTCCCTCGTCTTTTGTGGAAGAGGATAGTGTGGGACGTACTACAACGTATGCCAACGTTAAAAATCGAAATATACTTTGATTCACTTAAGCTTGATTCTGAATAATAATAATAATAATAATAATAATAATAATAATAATAATTTATTTCTTATATAGCGCTATTTACAATAACAGATCAATAGCGCATTATGGCACTTCGCCGGGAAGACTCGTAACGATGATGCAGTTTACAGTTGACGCAGTTTACAGTTGACGCAGTTTACAGTTGACGCAGTTTACAGTTGACGCAGTTTACAGTTGACGCAGTTTACGATTCACAAGATACAAAGTAACGGGGACTGATGTAATGATACAGTTTTAGAGAATACATTAAGTTACGTCGGTTTCCTTTTGTAAAAATTAAAGAATAACCTTGACCTTCTGATCGCTTCAATAAACTAGTTGTTATTTCAACTGAAAAGGTTGCTAATGCAGATTATCATTTAAAACAGTGGGTGTAACCCCTTGCTGCGTGATGGCATTTGCACGTGAAATTCGTTCGCTGATTTAAGGTCTATTCTATGACTGATTCGTAGTTAAAGATAGAAGCATCCGTTACCTTGTTAGTGTGATTAAAAGCCAGTTTGATAGGTTTACTTATTTTAGTGGACCAGATTGACGATCATGAATTGTGACAGACATAATACTTGTACCGCTCTTTCGCAGCTTTCCATCGCCGTTCTGAAGATGTCTGGATCCAATCACTGGAAGTCGAAGAACATTCTGGAGTGTTCTGTAGACAATGGTTGACCTACGAATTTCTAAACTGTCCGAAAGTACTGAACCACGAACAACGAGTGTTGCGCCATATTGAGAGAAGTCAACGTCTAACTAGGAGTGGAAGAAAGAAAAATGTAAACTCACGTTATTGTTAACAAAGCGATGTTGTTGGCTTATGCCCAAACAGTTTTGGAGCTTTAGTAATTTGAATATAGAATAAAATGTCCTTTGCTGATTTAAAAAATCTCTTTTCTTTCCAGGCAAATTTGTGTTCTTAAAATATATACGTCAGCAAAGTTACAACATCGTTCACTCAACCGAATAAGAGAACAGATGAAGAAAAAAGAACTCAACTTATTTGCATCAGAATTGTTCAATTTGTAGCACTAATACACTTGAAGGTCCATGTTCCACAATGTCTGTTCGACATTTAGTTTACAGTGGTAATATACAAGATCGCTGTGACATATAGTCGGAAGATTTCCAAGGAGAAGAATTATTTAAAATTGGGTTTTCTATCTAAGGCTTAACATCACTACAACTTTGAATTCAGGTTCGACATTGTTCGCATAAAATCTTCAGAATTTTCTGATAAAAAAATTATTTTAAGCAAAATTAAACTAGAATTAACCTGTTCTCAAACTCAATATTTTCTAATTTAATACGAGCAATTGGAAAAAGAATTTTGGACACACATTATACATATATCAATGGAGTTACCTTCTGTTTCAGGTTTTTCAAGCGGTCTACCCTAAAAGCAATGTTTTCGGATGACAAAATTAAGTTGGATGAGTTGATCGAGCTATCGTAACCAAGGAGACTGCTAACTTGAGAGCCAAAGTCATCCATTGCCTTTAGAAGAATTTCCGTTTCGCTATTGTAAAGTATAGGCTGCTGCCTCGCTAGGGCTCGGCAGCAATTATTTTTTTTATTTTTTAAAATTGGTAGTATGTTTGGCGTGAAATATCCTATCCTTCGTGGGTTCCGTAAGTGTGACTAGCTTATCATGAATCAATTTGTAGAACTGTTTCTATTTGCTTTCAAACCTCAGGGGCTCCTGTAAACAGACGATCCAATTTATAAAAGTAATGGGGCATAAAGCCGATCGAACTGTATATGTAAGATCGTTATAATAAACCTTTGTGCGACAACGAATATGATATTCGTCTGACGAGGCTCTAACGCTCGAAGCATCAGCTTAGATACTCTTTAAGATGGCCAATTTAAATTATCAATACAGTTAAGAACACCAAATTGCCTATTTTACTTTCTCATCGACGCATCACCATAGTCTCTTTAGAAACTTATTCCCGTCACTTTAGAATTTGAACTAACCAGTAGTCACTATCTTACTCAACTCTTCGTTGCGTCTTCATAAGGCATTCAAAACAGGCCACTTTACATCAATTGATCGAGTCATTGTCCCTCCCCCAAGACTCGCAAAATACTTCTACTCATAATTACTCTTGCACACAGGAAAACCTGATTCCTGTAACGTAGAATGCTCTTATTTACATATTTTAATAGGTGAGACCTTTTAAGAAAGAAACGATTGTCGTGGCCATACATCCCTTATTGTTTTGGAGTTTCGTAACATTGTCAGAGCTAAACTGTAAGATTGATATTTGATTAGCTCTCATGAAACCTTCTAGGTCTAGAACTTTCTTAACAATGCATCTGACCCAGAGCGTTTTTCTAGGTTCTTAAATAATACTCAGACATTGTTAATAATGCAGGCTTGACTGCATAAAAAGTCATATTCCCACCCATATACCTGACCTTCCTGATGTGTTGTTAGCTACATCTGAATTTTTCAGAAGAGTCCAAGAGTTCCAAAGAACCGATCGAGAAACTCAACAAAGATTTCGAAAACTTTACGAGTAAGTTTATTTGATGATTTGCAAATCTTTTTTCCGACAGATCTATGGCAGCTTGCTTTTGTATCTGCTACACCTGCCTTGTCTGGGAAATTATCTGAATCAACTCTTTCTTCATTATACGCCTAGAAAGGGTTCCTAACAAATGATCTGTTAAGGCTTTTGACTTTCGGAGGAAGACGATACAAAAAAAATTTTTTTAGACTTCCAGACTCATTCCCCAAAGCTTTCAACNTTTCGAAAGTTGAGTCCATTTTTATCGGCCATTGGTTATTCATTGTTTTTATTTCACAGCATTGGTCACGGTATGTTAATTGTGAAGTGTTATTCTACGTTTAACAAATAGTACTAGACATTGTTGATAATGCAGGCTTGACTGCATAAAAAGTCCAGTTCCCAACCACATACCTGACCTACCTGAAAAAAGTGTTGTTAGCTAAACCTGAAGTATTCAGAAGAGTCCGAGAGTTCGAAAGAACCAACCCAGAAATCCAACTAAGATTTACAAGTCAGTTGATTTGATGATTTGCAAAGGTTTTTCGAAATAACCTTAGTGCAAGTGCAAATCTTTGAAAAAAGTCTGTGGCAGTTCGCTTTTTCATTTGCCACAACCACTTTGTCTTGGAAATAATGTGGATCAACTCTTTCTTCGTTATACGCCAAAAAGGCTTCCTACAACATGATATGTTTTGCCTTTTGACTTTCGGAGCTGAAGACGATACAATTGAAATTTTGTAGACATGCAGACTTATTCCCCAAAGCTTTTATTCTTCCATTTTTATTGGATTTTTCGCTTTTTAATTGGTCACGGTATGTTAAATTGGCTGCTGAATACCGAGAGATAACATTAAGATACAAAGCTTTAAAAACTTTTCGTCGCAAAGACACGTGAATGAATACCTGCGAAATTGTGCCTTACAATAGTTCATACTAGCTCACCTTATATCAGTTCGTAGAACTGTTTCTATTTACTTTTAAACCACAGGAGCTCCTATAAATAGACAACCGATACCTGTTTACTCTTAATTTCTAAAAGTAATGGACCGTAAAGTCGATCGAACTGTATATGTAAGATCGTTCTAGTAAACCTTTGTGCGACAAAATATTCGTCTGACAAGGCGCTAACGCTCGAAGTATCAGCTTAGATACTCTTTAAGGTGGCAAATTTAAATTATCAACACATAAAGATAAGCAAATTACTGATTATACTTTCTCATCGACACAGCACTTATCCCCTTTCTCATCGACGGCAGCACTTATCCCCTTTCTCATCGACGCAGCACTTATCCCCTTTGTTTTAGAATTTGAACAAATCAATAGTCACTATCTTACTCGACTCTTTATTGCGTCCTTATAAGGCTTTCAAAACACTGAGCCACTTTGTCTCAATCAATTAGGTCTTTGTCCCTCGCCCAAGACTCTAAAATGCTTCTACTCATAATTACTCTTGCACAGAGCCACAGACAGCCCTGATTCCTATAACGTGGAACGGTATTATTTACTTATTTTCCATGTGAGACCGTTTAAGAAAGAAATAGTTGTCATGGCCATACATCCCTGTGTTGGCTGGAGCTTTGTAGCATTGTCGGGGCTAAACCGCAAGATTGATTTTTGATAAGCTTCCATAAAACCGTCTAGGTCTTGAACTTTCTTAACAATGCATCTCACCTAGAGCGTTTTTTATAGGTTTTTAAATAGTATCAGACATTGTTGATAATGCAGGCTTGACTGTATATACAAAAAAGTTGTATTCCCACCGACATAGCTGACCTACCTTAAGTGTTGCTAGCCACACCTAAACTATTCAGAAGAATTCGGGAGTTCCAAAGGACCGATCGAGAAACTTAACAAAGATTTGGAAGACTTAACGAGTAAGTTGATTTGATGATTTGTAAATCTTTTTCATTTTAGGTATAGGTGCAAATATTTTGACAAATCTGCAGCAGCTCGCTTTTGTATCTGTCTGGCAAATAATCTGAGTCAACTGTTCAGGGTGAATATGTAATCGCGCTTAATAATAGCTCAGACTAGCTTATCATGAATCAGTTTGTTCAACTGTTCCTATTTGCTTTCAAACCTCACAGGCTCATGTTAACAGACATCTTCCACTATTTTACTATCAGTTTGTAAAAGTAAAAGGACATAAAACCGATCGACCTGTATATCGAAGATCGTTATAGCAAACCTTAATGCGTAAAACTACTCTCCGGACGAAGGGCTAACGCTCGAGACATCAGCTTAGATACTCTTTAAGGTGGNATACTTCTACCCATAATTATTCTTGCACAGAGCAACAGGAAACCCTGATTCCTAACGACATAGAATGCTCCTATTCATTGTTTTCTATCTCACACTTTTTAAGAAAGAAACGATTGTCATGGCCATACATCCCTGTGTTTTTGGGAGTTTTATAGCATTGTCTGAGCTAAACCCCAAGAATTGATTCTTGATAATATAACCTCACATAAAATCATCCAGGTCTAGAACTTTCTCAACCCTTGACCATTATAATGGGGAGGCAAAGGTAAAACGTATAATTTTCACTCTTTCAAGTATTAATTCTATAAAGCAATTGGTTTTCTTCAAAGAAGTACAAAAATAATTCATCAGTGAACAGTTTGTGCACATTCAAGTTCATTCAAATTGGAAGTTTTAAAAGACCGTGCAACGAAGGCTGTTCTTAATTCAAGCTGGTTATCAATGAGCCATTTCGAATTGAAAATGCTAATTACAGAACTGTTCTAAATTTTCGAATAAAAATATTTTTCCATCGTTTCTAATTCTTCATTTAAAAAATAAGTAATGGTCCATGAAGCTGATCTAGCTGTCTATCTAAGATCGACAGAAAACCTTCACTGATGCGGCAAAATGTCCGCCAAATAATAAAAAAAACACGATATCTATATTTACATTTGCAACACCCGACTTTTTAGCTTGTCTGGGAAAAAATCCGAATCAACTCTTTCGTCGCTACTCGCCTACGAAGGTTTCTTACGATCTGTTCTGTCTTTTGATTTCTGGAGGAAGACAACACAATTGGAATTTGTATACATCCAAACATATCCCCGAAAGCTTTCAGTCCCTTTTTTTTATGCTGTTTCATGTTTCATGTTTCATGTTTTTTTTTTTGCTGTTTCATGTTTCATGTATTTTTTTGCTGTTTCATGGCCTTAGTAACGGTATGTTATATCCCAACCAAGATTATGTATTGTTTTCTTGTTCAAGTTGAAGGTAATGATTTTAATGACTCATAACATATCAAGGCTCCTAACAAAACCGCAAAGGGAGGTCTTGTCCACCACCAACCATTAACAGTAAACTATGTTGATACATGCGTTGGAGGTCAATGAAAACAATAAGTGCATGGAAGAGTTTTCCAACTGTTTACTGAGAATGATTTTCTCGCGCCTTGCCTGTTAAAGCGCCTAATAATTACATCTGCGAGCATTGGTAAAAATGCAGTGCAGTCATACTCATTGAAGTGCCTTCATGTGGAAATTTTGGAAAACTCAGTCACGCAAAATATAAGAAAATATGTAAAAAAAAAATGTAGTGCGAAGCGCAAAGTCGTACTCATCGAAGAGCCCTCAAGTGGAAATTTGGAAAACTCAGTCACGCAGTGCAGTTATGTATATATAAAAGAACCTCTTGTCAGCCAGGCAAAATATAAACTAATCAACCGAAGATACTAAAATTTTCTATTCGCCTCTTGGAGTGTAGACGCAAACGAGGCAAATATCCATTATGATATAAAAGTAATTATATGATAATGGATCAAGGCCTCGTTTGTTCTTATCACTATTTATAGAGACTCATTCATTTGTTCAGTGAAGCGTATAGTACTTATTGCTAAAAAGGTTAGAATCTCGAAATTAAACATACGTGTTCTCATATGTACTGGCCTGTTCTCTTCCTAGCATCTGCCAAAGTCAGAGAAGGATCAAGATGAAGTCTTCCGTACCTCTCCCGGTTTATATCCTGACTCTCTTGGCCACGAGTTGCTTTGTCTCAGGTACTCTGGGACCAGTCACCACTTATACCTGCGGGGGAGGCGGGGGGAAGATTTTGTTCATGTCACAAAAAGCTTACTTGGTCCCCCTAAGGCTCTATAGTATTCTCCAGGCCCCATTTGTTCGAAGAGGAAGTAACTCGCGCTATCCATTGGGAAAATTTCTATCTGGGCCCAATCGTTTAAAGGGCGGACAACGCTATCCAACGAATAAATCGTTATCCAGCGGGTGAGTAACAGCAAAACGTACTGCACTATCCCCCGGGTAGAGATCTAGATCTATCCAGCATTCGTGTGGTCCCAATGCTTAGAGCCAACTAGATTGCAAGAATCATTAGCGATTTCACACTGGATCTAATCGCGAATAAAAGTTCTCAGTTTTTAAACCTCATCTTTACCTTTAGGACTTTGATTATGGTAAAACTGGCGAGGTTACTGCCATGATTTGATTCAGTCAACAAAATTCCATCAATTTGCTTTCAAAACATAATTTTCTGACGGAAAAAGTGTTCAACGCTAACTTCCTTATTCTTGGAGAATTTACTACTAAGCAATCACAAGAGATGTTTCAAGCTGATTAAATATGAACTCGAGCTAATAACGCATTCAGCTTGGCAAAGTGTCGACTTTTTCAGCTCAAATCTTTTCTTAAATTTCTTATATGTTTCCAGGTTCTTCTCTCAAAAGAAAGGAGGATCCGATGGAAAAGGAAACTGAATTTGTCAAGCCAATGAAGGGCAAGTCATGTTTAAATAGTTTCTCCCCTTCCGTAAATACTTAAGTCTCGAGAAGTTAAATTAAAAGCCTACTTGTAGCGCTTGCGGTGACCAAAAAAAATCTAAATTCTAAGGTTCCAAGGGCCGTTGGCAAAGTTTCGACTTTTTCCAGCTTAAATCTTTTCTTAAATTTCTTATATGTTTCCAGGTTCTTCTCTCAATAGAAACGAGGATCCGATTGAAAAGGAAACTGAATTTGTCAAGCCAGTGATGGGTAAGGCATGTTTAAACAGTTTCTCCCCTTCCGTAAAACCGAAGTCTCGAGAAGTTAAAAGCCTGCTTGTAGCGCTTGCGGCGAACAAAACAAATCTAAATTCTAAGATTCCAAGGGGTGTTGATTAAATATGAACTCGAGGCAATAATGCAACCGGCTTGGCAAGGTTTCGACTTTTTCAGCTCAAATCTTTTCTTAAATTTCTTATATGTTTCCAGCTTCTTCTCTCAAAAGAAAGGCGGATCCGATGGAAAAGGAAACTGAAATCGTCAAGCCAATGATGGGTAAGTCATGTTTAAACAGTTTCTCCCCTTTCATAAAACCGAAGTCTGAGAAGTTAAAAGCCTGCTTGTAGCGTTTGCGATGACCAAAACAAATCTAAATTCCAAGATTCTATGGGGTGTTGCTTCAAGACGCAGTCAACGAGGTGTTTGGGGACTATTTCACGGATCGAGATTGAAGAATAACAAACCAAAATTGACTGCTTACACGAATCCTTATTCTTAAAATCGACCGAACCACAATCAAAGATCAAAGTCACAATCAATCTAACAATTAATCAATCGTAAACTGAAAAAATAATACAACTCCGAAGTTATATGAATCCAATGAAATGTCGCGAAATACACAATCAAAATATGGTGTATAAAAAACTGGGTCTTAACGCCGATAGCTAGATTAAAATGACAATGAACAATACAAAGAAACCAGTACAAAAGTTTCGGTACAAAATTACAAGAATTTTCGCGGCTGGTTTACAGCTCATTCTTCTTATCCAAGTGGTGGGAATTCACCTGCATCTGATACAGTTTTGGCTTTTAAATCTTGAATCAATTGAGAATACGGCAATACAACAGAACACCTGTTTGCATACTTTCGCCCAACACCGAAAAACTAGACTTAGGAAAACAACAAAGGTACTCACATATCGGTCCCGCTTGTGCCAAAGGTTCAAGAAAAGGAAAGGGCGAAATTTCACCAAGATTACTCAAAAACTTACGAAAATCCAATTTTAGCGACGCTAAACCCGCGTTTTATAAGCGCGCGGTGATGCTGAAAAGTTCGATTACAAAACCAAAAGAAATATAGACAAACAGATAATATAGACAATACAGACAAAATATAGACAATACAGACAAACAGATTAAAATCCCCTGATGAGTGGGCAACCACGAAACAGGTCTATAGGGATGTATATTTAGTTTTTTTTTCCAGCCTACCACACATTATACCTGCTCTACTATTTGTATCGAGCACTGTTTCACGGACACCACGTTTAATCCCTCGACAAACAGATAAATATTGTAACTATGTTCGTATCTAGGATCATTCTGAAATTAGTAAACGAATTAATAATCAGTTTAATAAAAATGAACCTTCTGGCCGATGTCCTTAACACTCCATTTAATTCTGGTTACACATTCATCAAGATGTAGCAAGAAGAAGAATAAAGAACACTATCAACAAAACAAAATCATACTCAGTCAAGCTGTTTTGTTTTTATTTATCAATGAATTATTCAGACAAGATCCCTCTTAAAAGCTGAGAATCCATTGACTCGACGTTATTCTATTTTAGAAATGTAAAGTTGAACCTGTAATAGGAAAAGTATGAAATATTTTGTTTGCTACTCAGAATCTGCCAAGATCTGATCCTTCCATACATTTTCGAGTAAAAAAAGAAATGGAAATTATAGGTCATATTAAGAGATCATCTTCTAGCCAATGAATGTCTCTTACCATCTTCCTATACCTGAATATCTAATTGATGTTTATTATTTCCGGGTGGTAAGTGTTTAAATGTAAAGTTCTGTGCGCACAAAAAGAAAACAAGGTTCCTTACATCCGAATGTTTTTATTTCGCTTTTTTCACAGATGAATTCGCAGAAGAGCTTCTTAAAACACTGGAAAACATAGAAGAGGTGGTTGGTGAGTTTAGCCTTCGTAAAATATTCCTGCGGTAACACAACAATACCTTCGTCACTTCGGCGTGACAGAAACGTAAAGGAGTCTCTCAATTCTACCATTTAAATTCATAAAATTACCTGAACTGTCAAACTTGCTTCAGGACACACATGTCTCTGATATTCATTCTTATAATACTCGATCCTCTGCCTCTAAGAACTTTTACACACAAAGTTCCAGACTCTCAATTCAAATGAATTCATTTTCTAGAATCGGAACAAAAATATGGAATGAAATGCCTGTATCATTGAAAACTTTCAAAAAATACCTTCAAGAGGAAAATAAAACAAACACTTTTTGAGATCCTAGCTTCAGAAGATTGTTATATTGATCTTCCAGAAATCGTTCAAAAAGTTAAATTGAATTTATCTTTCAGCTTGATTGATCAGTTGATATGTATTCAATTATTTTGTTTGATGTATCAGTAATCTCCCGTCAAGACTGTTGATTAGTAATATCATTGGTTTATCAGTAGTCTCCAGTCCTTGTTGTCAATTCTAGCTTTTTTTAGTTCTCTTGTTACTTTTAGCTGTATTAAGTTGTATCTATTTCCAGTAAACATGACCCGCCTAGATTAGCTTGGCTACCCGCGGGCATGTTACTGTACTTTTATCTCAAAACACAATAAAATGTATGTATGTATGTATGTATGTATGTATGTATGAATAGATGATAATTAATTCCTTTCGTACAGACAAACTGACGAGATACTCAAATGAGTTTTGGGTGGGTAAGTATTGTTACGTTTAGCAAATAAGTGTCATGATGAGTGATTGATATCAATAATTCTATACATTGATTTAAAGGCGTTAGCTTACTATATTTCAAACCAGTTTTTTAGAAGAGTCGAAAAGAGAAAGGAGTCA